TCTGTTCCAACTCCAGTGATCCAGCGTGTCTGTTGTGGTGTCTGCATTGTTCATGTTTGAAAAAGAAGAGAAAAGAAAAGGAAGGATTAATTTTCCAGCAGCGAGTGTGAGGATTAGAGTCTTTTTAAACATTACCGAGGCTCCTGTCTCACTGATGTTCACTTCTAGTTTGTTTTCCACTCTCCTACAGTTCATGACCGAGCCTGACAGCCCCATTATGTAAATGTGTGTTAAAGAATATGCGGTTTGAATGTAAAGCGCATTGTGGATGTAAATGCAGTATCTCATTTAAAGCCCACTGAAGAGTTGCATCATGTCGGCTCTTTTAGCTAATTGGGGCTACAGCACAGAGGCAGAACCGTTATTGCAACAGACTGAAAAAGGATAAATGATTTTAGTGCTTGAAACAAATGTGCATCACATGTTTGTGTCAAATTTCTGCCGGCTTGGCGAGACTGGCACGGCCATTTGGCCGCTGCTCGGGATGTGTGGATCAATATGCAGCCTGATAAGTGTAATGCCGGTCCGGAGCGGAGGGTCGTTGCCCGCCGGCTACTCGATCTGCTGTGCACTTCCCTCTGCACCAGCAGAGCGAACTATAATTGGAACAACCAAGTTCACTGACAGACGCTTGAAGCCTTTCCACAGGCGACCACTCAAGGACACAGAAAACACACCTCAAGTATAGGTACACGGCTAAATCGCTCGATAATGTAAAATGTTCCCACGGCACAAAAACACCTGGTTGTGTAACTCTCTTAACTCCTGTTGCAAACTGATCCACAACTCAAGGACTAGTGTGAAGCAGTGGATTGACACATTCTTTAAGCAACCATTACATCTATCACTTCTGATGCAGGTGCTGCTCAAACTCACCCTGACTGACATCCACAGTTCTGAGATCAGTTAAGTCGCCTCTATCAACAGTGGTAACAATGCTGCCTTCATTTGCACAGAGATATAATTAATATTTAGTATTTCAGCCGTATTTCACGGAGCGCGGTCTGCAGGAGGTGATGCCTCATTCCTGTAAATCGATGCATTTAAATAGCGTTGTTAGCTCCCCACCATTTCTCTAAGCCACTTGGTCAGCTGTGCAGTTTGTCGCGTTAAAGCGAACGCTGGCCACAGGCTTCTTTAATGGAGGTGCCACTTAATTACCACAGGGACCCACTTGAGCTTAGTGAGCTCAAGTGTATAGAAACACATGCGCATGGCACGAGGACTGAAATTGGTTTTCATGAAGCCGTGAGTACGGGAAGTCACTTTTTGTAACATTAACAGTATAAACATGGAGGTGCGGACACAAACAGTCGTCCTGCCCACATCTACATTAGCGACTCTCTGGCGTTGAAGCTCAGTCCTTGTTTACATCTCGGCTGTGACCTGTCACCACTCTGGTAATAACAAAATGTGACCCCTCCACTAACCCGGAGAGATTGTCTCTGAGAATGCGGCGTGTGGGGTCAGAGGTCACGCCGTATATAAACAGGTGTCAAGAGCTATGATGGAAAGCCAAGGACACATGAGCCTGGAAACTGGGCCAGCAGCACGCCACTATCTCCACTGTAGAGACGCAGGGGCACGGAGCCGAGTAAAAGGGTGATGGATGACTCTGCCTGTCAACGTGATGCCATGGTTTCATGTTGTGCAACTTAAACCCCCTCGTCTGTACGACTCCAGCTTTTGGGAAGCAGCATACGTGTGTGTGTGTGTGTGTGTGTGTGTGTGTGTGTGTGTGTGCTTCCATGCGACGATTCTTTAACCAGCATAACGTCCACTGTCTCGACCTCTGTCTTCCACTCTCTCTCTTTCCCTTCCCAGTCCATCAGTAACATCCCGTCACAGAACTAAAAACAATGTTCTTAACCAGTTTGCAATGAGCCACGTGCTCGACCTGAGGTTTTGCTGGCTTCAGTTTTCTTGAACAGGAAAAGTGATCTGCAGTAATTAAAAAAAAAAACAAATGGGCTGTATCTCACCTGCAGTGTGCTCTCTGCATGGCGGAGCTCCGCTGTCTTGCCAAATTTACGACTTTAATTATTACTCATTTGAAATGCTCAGTGTATTTAACTCAATCTGGAATTTTCAACCTCATACATGTTAAATATCTGTATATCTGCTTATTCATGCAACTAATCTGCAGTCGTGTGTCCGGAGGGCACGGCACAAAGTCCTGCAGGTACAAGTCAGCAGCTCCAGTTAATGTTCAAACATCAGACTGAGGAGAAGTACGATCCCTGATCCTGACGACGGTTTGATTGTTGCTGCTGGATGGATTCATCTGAACCTGCTCATCTCCTGGGATTTTCACCCACGCAACAGTCGCCAGAGTTTTTCAGTGGAGTGAAAAACAAAAAGAACATGTGAGTCCTGCAGACGGAAGTGTCAGAGAGGTCAGAGGCGACTGGTGGGACAGGTTGGAGTTGAGGAAGCGTGACTCTGGTTGGCTGAAGCAGCAGAAGACTACATCAGGTTCAAATCTCTGGGTCCAAAGTGCCCTGTGTCATTAGTCCGAGCTACTGGTTGTGTAACATTCTCACCAAGTCACAAAGCCAAAGCTGTCTCCAGTGGTGCCATCGTCTTGCCCTCACACAAAAAGTTTAAGCACCATCATGCTGCTGCTGTTTAACAGAAAAGCTTTGGACGATAATTTGCTCGTAATTAGACGGATTTGCTTCACTGCCTCGACGAAGAACCCGCTGTTTGAACACCTTTGTGTTTGTGAGAGATATCAACTCCACAAGTGTTCGATTGTTATAAACTCCTGCTGTTTTCTAACTCACCTCTTCACCTGCTTCCTGCTTCCTCTGCATTAAACTGTCTGATTCAGTTACCAGTAACTGCAGCCTAATTAGGAGAATTTGATTTTCACTGCTGGAGCCGATGGCGACCGGCGATAACAACCTCTCTGGAAAATGCACCGCATGTGGCGATCTGTAAAAGTTTTGACAGAGCAAAATACATTTTTACATCGGAGAACAAAAACCTTTTGGTAACAGCTTCAGGAGGACTGCTGCTGGTTATAAAGCATCTCAAGTTCAACACACCAAAAACACAGATATCAGAAAATGTTGCTGCTATATGATGCTGCTTTATATACATATATATATATATATATATATATATATATATATATATATATATATATATATATATATATATATATATATATATATATGTATATATCTGTGGTGAGAAAGGTCTATGAGCAACAGTGGTCACATGACTCTGGGGATGCCAATTGGTTGGTTGCTCGCTCTTGTCCGAAATATCTCAATAATTACTGTATGGGTTGCTATGGAAATTGGTGCAGGCATTCCTGGTTTGCAAATGATGAATTCTAATGACTTTAATGATCCTCTAGTCTCAGTGTCACGTAGTGTATCTGCAGAATAGTGAATAAACAGGTTGCTGCACCAGGTGAATGGTTTGAAAGGTTTGTACTTGGTCTCCTTTTTAATCATCATCTGGTTTTTCTGATTGGGAAACAGCCGTCAGTGAGCACAACATCCGATCTGTTTGATTTGAGCGGACACAGTCGTATTTTTGTGACTCTATTCCGAAATCTGGAACCCGACACTGGTTCTGAAGTTATCGAACATTGGCCTCGGCTGATCTGTGTTGTTTTTATCAAAGCTCAACTCTGCAGAGTGTTTTGCATCAGGCTGAAGGTCACCTTCCTCTCAGTCGTCTCAACAAAGTTTTACCGAGCAGATTTAACTTGTCCCGAACTTTTTCTTTGGCTGACTGAGGCATCGCTGCGGGAGCCTGAGGTGTGTGTGTGTGTGTGTGTGTGTGTGTGTGTGTGTGTGTGTGTGTGTGTGAGTTAAGACTAAAGGTTCCACACTAGGTAGTTTATGAGAATTCTTCCGCCTCACTAGTTGCGGTGAACAAAGCCTGATCCTGCAATGACATTGAAGATTACGGGGAGGTTTTCTTTTTGTTTGAATGGACACTTCCCGCTGCTCGGCTCTAAATTCTCAGCTTAGCTCCATAGAAAATCTCCTTAAGTGCATTTACCTTCCTGCCTTCGTGTCCGTCCAGACTCCGCAGAGCACCGAGCTGGAGAATCTGCTCGAAGGCATTTTAACAGGATGTTTAAAAAGTTGTAAATCAACTTGATAACCGATTAATTGACATTTATGAAACAAACTTAATCATCTGGTTCCAGCTTCTCAAGTGTGAGGATTGGCTCCATGTTTTCTGTTAATAAATTGATTTCAAATACGTTTTGGACTCTTGACATTGTCGGACATAAGTTTTTTGTGAAACTAATCAGCCTTAATCGATAATGAAATTAATTGCAGCCATAAGAAGTTTCTGCTGAGTGTATTTTTTGTTAAGATCTGCATTCATGCTAATGAGCAGCAGCGATTTGAATACTCAATTGATTATCCTGCTCATCACAGAGGAAGTCATCAGTCTCACCGGGCGTCAGAAATCAATCCCTCTTTTATCCGCCGCTCTGTGTGAAAGTGAAGGAAACGGCGGCCACCTCACGGCAGCTGACGCCTCCTGAGGGACATGGCGAGTCTGAGCAGCTCTTGCTTGTTGCTGTAGAAACCGGCCGGGGCCATTTGTACCAATTTGCTCTGTGGCATCAAGATCAAAAAGCCTGGAACCCGAAGTGTTCTCTGCATATTAGCATCTGTGTTGGATTCAAAGCAATTAATTAGGCGTCGGCTCACCTCATTACATCTGTACTGTTAATTTACAGTGCAGCGTGGTGGGCCTCTGTTTTCCACTTGTGTTCTATGGCGTTTGGAGTTTATGGTGTTTTGAACTGTGCAGAACTTTGTGGTTTTGTTATCGTCCACTTACTTCATCCCGCAGCCCCCCCCCCAAACCCCATGAAGTCTCGGATTAAATGCCATTCCTGCTCCGCCCTCTCCACCCCATTGAAAAAGTTGGCGGTTTGTTTACGAGAGCGCCGGCAGAAGGAGCCTAGCAGCTACCGAAACACTCACCCATCCCCCTTCCTCTTTCTCTTCCTCCAGAATCAGTTTGAAAAGGACAGACGGCCCCTTCCGCCCCGTCCCCACACCCCAGTGATGCTTAGCTGGTGAGTACTTTCACTTTCTTTCGCTCGCTTGTCACTTTCAGACATTTCTTCTGAGTTTCTGCATCTATTACCTGAATTTCTCCAATTCAATGTTCTTTTTTATGATTTTTTTTTTCTTGCTTTCCGCTCAATTTTGCCGGCAAATGCCAAACTCCTCTCCGCTCCTGTGGATATCTCTATGATTAAGTATTGGCTGTTATTCTTTATCTCTCTTTATTCAGTTCTCTAAGTGTCCTTACCCAACCCACCCAGTCCCCCCACATCTCTGCTGCCTCAGTAGTAAAAAGCAAGGCAGTCTTTTTTTTTTTTTTTTGGGTGAAAGCCCTTTATTCTGACTGAGTGAAGTGATTTGAAAAGCAGCAGTGAGAGGACGGCAATGGAGGTGGAGGAGAGGAGGATAAGCAGGAGGAGAGGAAGGGGTGACGGGTGGAGGGACGGGCTGTTAATGGATGAGTTTTACCTTTACAACCCCCCCCCCCCCCCCCCCCCCCCCCCCCCCCCCCCCCCCCCCCCCCCGTCTCTCTCTCTCTTACAGCCTTGAGCCTAAAAGCTAATTTTTAACTCGCATTGAATCATCACAGTAGCAACAGATCATACTCTACATCGTACCTTATACTCAACTATCGAGATCTCTCTCAGTGACCGGACATATGAACGAACCTCACCCTCCTTCTACCTCAGTCCCGTCCAAGGTCATATACGCCAGCTCCTCTGATGTCTGACGTCTTTCCTGCGTTGCCGTAATGTCAGCAGTCATTTAGAATATTTAGGACAAGATGGTGAATCGTACATTTGAAGGTGTTCTGCGCAATTTAAGTTACCAACCAGTAGATGTTAGCAGGAGATAGCGAGGACCATGACCTCAGCTGTGCACCTTAGAGGCATCAAGTGTTTTGGCCTCGTTATCAGTGATACAGCCCGAAGTTGAGGGTATACGCTGAGGCTGGAGGGAAATCTGACTGGCTTGTATGTCAGTACTATGAAAGCCATGTAGCCGCTCTGTGGATCAGACATCTGCTCGTTTTTAGATTTATTTTTTGTGGTTGGTGTTTGAGGCACTTTGAGAGTTCACTGCAGAGATCTGACAGGGAGCACTGGGAGAGAGTGAGGGTGAGGACACGTGGGACAGAGGTTTAAGGCTAGAATCGACGGTGCAATCACAGTCAGCGTCTCAAACCTCGAGGAAACCAGGAGGTTTCGATCCTTTTAAACAATTTTACCTAAATGATTTCGGCTCTTTTTTGCTTTAAAGAACCGGAGTAGTTTGGATTTATTTTTATTTAATGTCACGTGCTGCACAACAGTTTGTGTTTGGGTCAAAAGTTTCAGGAAGAACAATCCATTATTTTAGTTTTCCCTCTTGCTGATGGTTAAGGACAGAGAATGTCACACATGGTTAAGAGCTATTGACAAACTGGGATTTGTGAATATGGGCTATACAAATAAAATGTGATTGATTGATTGTTTTGGTTTAACTGAAATAATGAAATGAAATGAATTGTATGCATCAGAGGACATTGAGGTTACTGGTAATAGTTTTTCTAAAGTTAGTTTCCTTTTGAAAACATCACAAGCTCAAGTCCTGATACTATAACAATGCAAGATGCAAATCCTGTTCATAAAGTCAACAAAAGAATAAATTAATATGGACCAAACATCCCCGAGGACTAACTCAACTACCAAACATGATAGTTTCAATTATGAAAAATATTGTTCGTGGGTAATTGTTTAATGAAACATGCTAATTCTGTGTCTTCTTTCAGGCACAAGTAGAGATTATGTGAATAAACATAGATGTGAGGACACGGAGCGAACATATTGCATAAAGCTGTTAAGAAAACACACAAATCCCCCAAACTCCGACAACAAGATCATTAAATGTTATAATCCCTCATTTATCTGCTGCGGAGCATCAGGTACAATCTGTTAAAAAAGCACGAGGATCATCTTTATCACGAGTATAAAAGAAATCTCTTCAGGATTTATCACCTGATTATGGCTCTGAATAAACCTGCAGCTTGTACGTTGTGGGTTTGAAACGATGCTCAAACTGAGACTGAACATTTAACTGAACATTTAACTCATCATATAAAAAAACAAAAAAACACCTTGTGGAAGAGAGAGACCCATTTATCATGAATGGCACAAACCACTTTTCTCCAATCTCACCTACTTCTAACCCTTTGTATTAAATATCCCTGAAGGCCGGCTCTGGCATTTGCTTAAGTTCTGTTGTTGCTCAGCACTTGTCTGCTTCCACTTACTCTGCTCGATTCAATTTGTGGCCTAAATGTCTTTCCCTAATATGTGTCATTGGAGCAGAGCGGTGGCGGTGGCGGCGGCGGCGGCGGCGGCGGTGCTCCGTCTCCGACTGCTTTGAGGAAGCACCTCTGTGTTTGTCTTGGTTCTCTGCTCTGGGCCGAGATCAGGGCTCCAGTTGCGGTTGGCGTGTCGTCTCCTCCGGCCCCGCTGCTGTTTGCTGATATTTAGTTTGCGATGACAATAAGCCGGAAGAAAACAAGTTCCTTTCAGGTCAGAAAGAGAGAAGGGGTGGACTGAGAGGGAGAAAGAGACCCAGAGACGAAGAGAGGGGGGACAGGGGACTCATCCCTGGATGGGGATTCTCTTTAAAGGTTTCTGTTTGTGGCCCCGAGGGCCGAATTAAGGGAGCGTCATTATCCTTGGCAAATTACCACGCTGCCTTTGTGGTCCAGCCATGGTACATTAGTGTGCTTTAAAACGTGGCAGAGCCGTTGCCCATTCAGCTCACAAAGAGAGGGGCTGCTGGCAGATCCTTGGCCCGTTTCACAGAGGAGTCATTCACACCACGTCGGGGGGATGGTGACGGTGATGGAGAGGGTCCCCTGAGATGAGTAAAAATCACGCCGGCCGAGGCTGATGTGACATTAACCTTAAAACACACGCCAGAGGATGATGTCATCGCCGGATCTGATGTGAAGCTCTGTCAGACGTCTACACATCGATCCATAAACACACACCAGGATTTAAACGTGCTCTGTATTTGCAGAAGAAGGAACAAATCATCAGCTCACAACATTTTTCACTTTCCAGTTTCTTCCGTTAGCAGGTGTCAGATCTCGGTGGATGTGAGAAGGAGAAAGTGGCAGATGAAGAATCGTGACGCGTCAGGTGATTTGCAATCAGGGAGCTTGTTACACCCCATTGCTGGTTTTCATTGTTTTACCAGTGTCACAGAAAGGCTAAACGAGGAAGCAAATCAAACAGCTAATAGTAAAAAGGAAAAGCAGCAGGGGAGAGGAAGGGAAAATGCAAATGTGAAAGGAAATTGCTCTTTTAAATACCTGATTGAAATCGTTAAATTTGTGAATCCAATTATTTAGTCCTCTTTTTAAACAGTATCTTAAAAGATTCTTTGAATCCTAATTTCTTTAATGAATTCTTTCTTATTTTTAACAAAGTTCTGTGTTATGTCATTTTTAATCTAAATTATTTATTAGTTGAATAATATTTTACTAAATTTCCTCTCTACTCCAATCTACAGTAAAAGGAGAAGGGTTCCCTTAAAGGGTAGTGGATAGTCTAGTCTATTTATAGATTAATTAACAAACTCATTAATACATTACTGTATTACTAATTAGTTAAAGACAAAAACAAATACCAGCCATTTTGAGGCTCCGAGGGTCGAACATTTCTCTACACAAAGTGATGTGAGCGCCACGCTGGTGTTTCAGGTGCACAGTTCGAGGCGACCCGATGAACTCAGATCTGAGAGGGAAACACCGCAGACGTCTCACAGCAAATAAACATGTAGATGGTGTCCGCTCCAGGCTGTGATAGGAGTTAAGTCTTCAAACATCAGCAGAGCTTAGACTCACTATCGAACGACCGGAGCGGATCCTCCAGGCCTGAAATGGTCGAATCAAGTTTTCACCAAACACATAAACTCCAGAGTGTACCACGAGTCAAACTCTTCAAAGAAAACCTAATAAGGAGGCTGCTGTGAAATGTTCTGTTCCTGGCTTTTTATTTATCATCCAATCAAATGAAGGCTTTACATCGGTGATTGATGTCTCCATTTTATTTTCTCTCCACGATAGGTGGGAGATTTCATTACGTTCCAACATTGTTTCCTGGTTTTATGAACTCAATCCCTCCGCTTGAGTAGACGAAGGAAGGGAGACGGCTTTTGTCCAGGGGCTGTGGTGGAAAGCCTGAGCCTGTAAATCCTGCGCTGATCTTCGGATCATTAAGCCGTGAGCCCTGAGTCCTTTGGTTCTTTATCGCCAGGCCTGGATCCCAGGCCATAATGGAGGCTAACTGGCTAATGATTAGCTGTCTTCTCCAGCTACTCCGGAGCTGACTGCTGCTGCTTGTCTGAATGGAGGAGGCAGTGAAAACATTTAAATCTGGCCTAAAATGTTTTCTCTCTTCATCCCTCTGACTCACTGTCTTCTGAAAGAGTTTTCACAAAGCTCAGGGTGGAACAAAGATGGTTTATGAGTGTTTAAAGGGATTTTAACTATTCCCAGCCCTTTATTGGGAACACCACACTAAAGCTGCTTTTAGACGTGCGCTGAGTATTTACCTGAAATTACCCGAAGGGGCTCAGTGTGAGAACGCAATTGTCGGAGTCAGCTCCTGTCTTCCACCTGGTGGATTCTGTCCGGGCCGAACACATTTTCACTGTTCATCCGTTAGTCTGGTAACAAATGAACTGTAAAGTCTGAAGGTCCACACCAAATAAAGAAGAAAGCGTTCAGCTCACACAGATGCTTCTACTTTTTATTTAAACTTGGTGTTTATTCGCTCTTAGTCCAAACTACCCTCTTCAGAACTGTCTACAAGGAAACAGTCCACATGTGTCCTGTAGCGGCTGTATCCTCAACTCGTGGGTTACATACGGGGCCTGCGAGCCCCTCAGGCACACCTATAAATCCAGCTTTAATGTGTTAACATCTCTCAAATCCGTTTTGAAACCCTCGATTTATTTTGGGCTGCAGCAGCTTCACCTGCAGTCG